GTGGTTACTGGGTTATGAGGTTGCTTCAGAGTTAGGAACAAGTCCTGGTGTGTTGGGTTCCTGAATGACTGAGTCCGTAGTTCATACTCCTGGAGGCATACCACCGGGCAGAGATTAGCATTGTGAGGAAAACAGGGGTAGAAGACTGAAGTGATCTTCGATTTCGTACGTCTGGTGATATTAAACAAAACACCGTTTGGGGTGAAGGAACTTGCATCGATATCCAGAGCTCGGACATCCGACACCCTTTTACAGGAAATTAAACACAAGAGCATAGCCAATTTTGCAGACACTTGTTTGAGCGTGAGGTCCGAATTCGTAGGCCAATCCTCCAACAGATGAAGAACTAGTTTGATGTCCCATAGAGCCTTGTATCGGGGTTGGGGTGGACGTGCAAATCTAATGCCTTGCAGAAAGCGACAAACCAACAGATGTTTCCCAGGTGGGAAGCCATCCATTCCGCTATGACCACCTGAGATCGCCAGAAACACATTTGAGATCCACGTGTTGTTCCATGCACTAACCACTCCATGTGTTCCAGGCATCAGTATAGGACTTTCGGGTTCCTGGAGCCCAAGCTCCTGCCAATAAGTCAAGAGTTGCTTGTGAAACGTTCAGCATGACCCAAGGTCCCGGAGAGGTTCCCCTGAACCAGAAGGGGGTGAGAGTTTCCATCGGAATGCGATAGTAGGTCCATGGAACCAGGCAATAGTCTGGGGAAGTCGCTAGATATTTCCAATGTTGTGCCATCCAGAACGGCGCTATCAGGACCAGTGATGCTTGGGAGCGGTTTAGATGTAGTAGAGTCTGAGCCATTAGAGAGAAGGGAGGAAATGCATAGTGTCATTTGTTCGGCCAAGGTTGGAGGAAGGCATCCACCGCCAGGGCGTCTGGGTCCGGTCTCCAGCTGCAGAATGACGAGAGTTGAGAATTCAACCGGGAGGCGAAGAGGTCGATATGCATTGGGCCCCAGGAATATTGTGCCGGGCGCTGTTGTCTTGTAGATGCTTGGAATTCCAATCTGCTACGATGTTGGATAACCCCGGAAGGTATTCCGCTTGTACAGATATGTTGCAATCCAGGCAGAAGTGCCAAACATCTTTCGCTAGGTTCGTTAGTATCGTGGATCTCGTGCCACCCAGATGGTTGATGTAACGGATGGCCAAGATATTGTCCATGCGAAGTAGGATGAAACAATTGGTTGTGCCCCCGAGGAGGCTCCGAAAGGCAAACAACCCCGCCAGGAGTTCCAGACCATTGATGTGAAGATCCTTTTCCTGTGAGGACCATTTTCCACCTGTAGAGGTGGGATCACAACGTGCACCCCAGCCGAGCCTGCTCGCGTCAGATGATGAAATTTGGGGCGGTTCCAAAGATTTCCATGCTTCCATGTGTTGAATCCACCAGTTCTTCTTTTGCCGAGTAAGACTGACCCAAGTGTAGGTGCGTGGCTTTGAGTTGTTGTAGGGCCATGTAGTGGAGAGGCCCTGGAAAGATTGCATGTATGGAGGCTGAGAAAAGGCCAATTATCCTTGCGAGTTGTCGCAAGGTCAAGACTGGTTGTGCCAACGTCCGCCGGATTTCCTTCTTGATGAGTTTCACTTTTGTGGTAGGTAAACTGAGCGTCCTGTGAATTGCATCTATGTTGAATCCCAAAATTTCGATGGTGTGGGAAGGATTCAGGATTGACTTGTCCCAGTTGATTAAGAAACCTAGATTTTGGAGGGACAGCGCACAGGGGAGATGTTGACTCAGTAGTTAGGCATTCGTGGGCCATGATCAGCATGTCGTCGAGGTATATGATTATACGGACTCCTCTGCTGCATAGAAGGGTGACCACCGGACACCACATGGCCGAGGATAGGCCGAACGGGAGGCATTGGAAGGGCCACATAGTCTTTTCCCATTGGAACTGAAGGAGGTGTTGACAATCTTTGGCAATCGGAATCGTGAGGTATGACTCCTGGAGATCGAGTTTGACCATCCAATCTCCCAGTCTCAGGAGGTCCCGAAGGCAGTGTATCCCTTCCATCTTGAAGTAATGGTACGCGACAAAGGCATTGAGGGGTCGAAGATTGTCTCATACCACCACCTTTCTTGGGTACCAAGAATATGTTGTTCAGGAAGCCGGGAGAGGTAACCGGAACCTCATAAATTGTGCCTTTCTCTGATACTAGGCCTTTGTCTTGTGGGGAAAAAACAATCCGATGTGATGGTGAGAATTGGATTGGTTGTTGTCCGATGTGATAGCCTAGAATGGTCTCTAGGACTCAAACATCTGATGTTAACTTGTGCCATGCAGCGATAAAATGGGATAGTCTGCCCCCCACATATGACAGAGAAAGGGTGTGTGATGGTAAATAACTCACCATAAGGCCGACGGCCATAGGAGAATCCCCTGGCTCCACGGGGTTGCCACGACCTGCCCCTGGTCAGGAAGAAAGGTGACAGTATCCTGGGTTCTGGAGGTTGGAAGCTAGATGTGGTGGACCCCCGGTACTAAGTCCAGGAAGAGCGGCTGGACATAGAGCTGGCCCCACCGACAACCTTCTGATAGAACGCAAGTTTCATATTCGTTTGTACTTTGTCTAGTTCCGTGAAGGTACTGACATATTTGCCCAGGTCTTTAACGAAATCGTCCCTGAACAGGAGACCTTTTGCATGTGTGCCAGGCTCAGATATTGCCATATTGAGGAGTTTTGGCTCAATTTTCATCAGAATGGCTTACGCCGTTCGGTGGCCAACGCGGTGTTAGCGTTGCCTATCAAGCATAGGGACCACTGGATCCATCATCTGATGGCCAACAGGTCTATTGGTGTCCCCTCAGTCAATGCTGCTTCGACCATGTCGAAGATCTTGGCTAAAGGCCCTAACACGTCTAAGACTTTGTCCTGACAGTGTCGAAGAGAATAGTCCAGTCCCTTTTTGGCCTTCCAACCCAATTTTCCCAGAAATTGGGCGATCTTAGGATCCACATCCGGCATAACACAGGCAGTGACAGGGACCATAGGGCGTGGGCACTCTGAGTTTACTTCTCGTGGCCTTATCTAGGGGTTTTCTAACTCTAGTTGCAATGTATTTGGCCACTTGGTCAGTGGGGTACCATTTAGCCGAGCAAGGGTTATGCAGGGCATCAGGGTCAAAAAGGGGTACGCCTTGAGGGTCTAAGATAGTGGAGTCGTCTGCCTCCCGCCTAGCTTCGATAGCTGGTGACGCACTAACACTGCGTTCAGGAGAGGAGTCCTCAGAGTAAACCGGGTCGATAGCATCGGACCCGTCAGAAAACTTCTGAGTCCGAATCAGAGTAGGACAAATCAGATAGGGCTTTTGCCCTCTTCCAGGTCCGCACTGCTTTTGCCCAGTGGATGGCTCTTTTACGTGGGAGTACCACGTCCTCAATATCAACAGGGCGCAACCTGTCCGTCAAATCGTTTGAGGTAATTTTAGCCACATGATGGGATCATCAGCTTATTATCAGAGGTCGCAAGGAGCGCTTGGACAGAGGCCCGGCCAGACTCCATGATAGCTCTATCCGACATCACTTCCATGGCAGTGTAAATGGCTTGGGTAACTGATTTGCTCATTGTAGCATCCTGGAGCGAGTGGAACTCTTCAGAGTTCATTTGCTCCTGGGACACTCCCTCTTCCCCACCAGGGGTGGTAGGACCAGCGGACACAGTGGGTATGTGGTGTCTACTAGGCTTAACAGAGGCATTGGGAGCAGCAGCCAGCATATCAGAAGGGTTCTGCATAATGACCCTAGAATAGCAAAGGGGAACAGTCACCACAGTGGGTATCAAGGGCTTAATTCTGACAGTAGGGCGTAACTAGGGCTGAGCAAGGGAGGAAACCCAGAGGTAATAAAGGGCAGAGCACAATAAGGGCAGCACAAACCTATATGTTAGCTTACTGAGTGTTCCCTCAGGAATGGCCCCTGGGGAACACTAGAAAGCTGCCCTACAACCCAGCCAGCCAATCAGCTCGCGCCCCTCATTGAACGAGCAGCGCGAGCGTCAAAGAGCGGCAAAATGTTGCCATTGTAATATGGCTATTGCGATGCGCAGGAGCGAACCGCTAATTCGCGGGCAGCACTGGTAGCGGTTTAGGCTGCGATCTGGAGGGCAGCCAGGGAGGCTTGTCCTGAGGTAGAAGAGTAAGTAGAGGGGGGGGGAATCTCAGAACCGAGGTCTTCCCGCGAATGGCGAAGCCAGGTTATAAACAACCTGAAGATGCAAGGGGTAAGGGTTTGCCCCAGGGGAGGAGGTGAGGAACCCTATAAGGAAAAACAAAAACCTGCGGGTCAACCCCAAATATACAATCAAATAAAACAGACAATTACAGTAGAGTATAATAACAAATACAACACAAATCTGCAGAGCAAAAATTATGAGGTACTTAGCTGAGGCAGCAGCAAAGAAAGGGGGAGTGGCTTAGGTCACATGGAAGTATATGGAATGAGGACTGCTCCCATTGGTTGAATATTTTAAATGGTTAACCCTTTAAGGGTATTTGTTTTGTTTCTATTAATATCTTAATATTCGGGGGTGGGGCCTGACAGCCATTCAAGCAGGTTGCACATGGCTGGAGCTTCTCAGCCTTAGACCTCAAAATTGCTAATACACCAGCAAAATTACCCCAAATTTTGCCTGACAACTCTCATCACTAGAAGCACCCTTTGCCGACCGCACCGGACTGGCTTGGGGCCTGTGAGTGGACTGAAGACGGAGGAGGCGGCCGATACTCTGCTGCAGTCGGATTCCAACCTCACCTGGGCCCTCCCCCCCCCTTTGGACTGGCGGGGGTTATCCTGGTCCCCTGGTGCGCTCCTTGGCCCACTTATACGGACTTCCCCAATCAAATGCATGTTGCGAACCTGAGGCCTACTCACCAAGATGGCCGACATTGCAAGGAAGACTCCGTCTCTCCCGAGCCCAACACAGCATGTCCAAGCTGACCCCCTAATGCTGGCATTCGAACGCCTGTGCACCAGGTTCTGAGATATGCTAAAACAGAAGAGCAGCAGCCACACTACCTGGGGACCCGAGCATACCACCCCAGCTCACAGTACCGGACCGCCGGGACACAATCCCCACGACCATCTAAAAGCATGGTACGAGCAGGGAGGCGGCGGAAGCTGGCTAAATGGCAAGGCAAATCAACCGGCAGAATCCACCACCGTGCCCTCACCCAGCCCCCCAGAGGGGGACACACTTGCACCAGCACTCCAAACATCCAGAAGACACCCACGCAGCAGAGCCAACAGCGGGCCACAGGACCACATACAAGCAGTGCTCCTAATGGCGAAATCCATGGGGACTCAGCGCAGATCTATGGCAATGACCGGAGAGGGCGGAGAACCCCCCCTCAGCCCATTGGACAGTCTTATTTCGGCACAAGTTACCTTCCAGCCTCAGGCATCGGCTGAACAGCAGTATGAACGCTTCATGTAGCCTGCGCAGCTTGGATTTTGGTAGTTCAACTGTGAGTCCCTGGGCCTGCAGCCTATCCATACTTTACAGTTCATGCAGTCCATAACTAGTAGCGCACCAGGCATTTTCACTAGCTTGAAGTATAATATTACCGGTGAATAACCGTTCAAACAAGCCACTCTAGCATGTTTACACATGTTTCTGTTCACCTTGTCTAGAATTCCCTCTTAGATTGGATAACTAACTGCAGCCACGCACCTAGACTCAGGAGCATTTCCTGTTTTTCATCTTAATATAAAATTGTGCAGCATAATCTAAATGTAGAAACGTAACAGCACCCAATGTTCATAACAATTTATGCCTTGTTTCCCTATGTTGAATGATCCACTTGTGAATGCTGATGTCACAGTATACTGTTATGATGTTGAACCACTAATTACATAAAATGTGCAAGTCGTACTCATGCCATATTCATGTTATACTATGTTTCTAAAAAACGCGCTTGAGAATGCTGTTGTGGCAATTCAAGCACTGTTGTACCTACATGCACAACAAAAATAAAGATTTAAAAAAAATAAAATCTTAATATTCTTTCTTTGCTGCTGAGGAATAAAGAAAGAGATAAAGCCATATATGAGCCTCTGTGTCTTTTAATAAAATTATTTGTTTCATTGTTTCTTCAGTCTTTCATTCCCTGGTATCAAACTATATCCAACGCAGCGAGCACTCATTGGATTGAGAACTAAACAAATAAGAGTCATTTAAATCAGACATGCAGCAGCAGTCAATATTTAATTTCCATTGTAAATAATTTAAATTTTTTTGTGTTTTTCCAACTGTATATCTGTCACAGTTGGCACAATTAATGTTAGGGCTGGTGTAAAAAAATTCCAGCGCTGCTTGTTATTCCCAGTCCGGTCCTGGATGATGTCAGACAAATTTCTGGTACGTTTTTGCCTAGGGAACCTAGTAGTGTGAAATAGAGCATTTTAAGTAAAAAAAAAAAAAAAAAGTGTTTGAAAGAGTTAGAATATCCTTTTAAGAAAGGGAACTGACGGACTAATTGCTACATTCAGGATAAAATAATCCATTAGCAAAAATACTCTAACCTTTAGTTTTTTTTCCCCCAGACATTTTCACATAATATTTGTAATTCCACTGTCATAATTCCTGGTTTAATCATTAAATCCATTTGTGTTTTTTATTAAACAGTGAATTTTACTGAATTGAAAGTCACATGGCAATGACCAAAACATTATTTATTATTTAAATATTTTCCATCTCTGTTGTTATCGCCCGAATTTGCAATTCAATTCTCAATTCAGTACAATTCATTGTTTAGTGCATAAACTCCTAACTGTAATAGAAAATGAGTAATCTTACTCCCATAAGAACATTCTGAAACACCTTTGCTCTATATACAGGAAGAATTCTGACAATGATTTCAAACTATGTAGCTGGTAAAGCAAGCTTCAGTTATCCTTCAACCATGCTTAATAAAAAAAAATAAAAAAAAAATAAAAAAAATGGATGTTACGCAATCTTAGGGTTTGAATAATTTGCTATTGAAGTTGTACATTTTAGTAGGGATTTTTGAAAAGTTCTCTATATGCTGTATTATGCCATATCTATATTTAGTTACAGTAAGTGCATGTGTAGATATTCCACATATGGAGAGCTGTAGCCATGGGATACCATTGATTTTAAAGGCTGTAGTAAATCATTTTCTAGGTCTACCCATACTGATGAACTTTCTATTGTATGCTATTGCACTAACGTGTTACATGAAATCGTGTGGATTGGACCTATACTATTTAGCTATATGCCTAATTGTTCCATTAAATATAGGAAGTACATTGGTGCAACTGAGTGTAAATGTAATATTGCTGTGAACAAAATAAATAAAATGTTAGGTATTATTGTAGTTGTAGTGATTTGTGCTATTTACCCCTGTATATTCAACAGTAATATTATTTATATGATGTGTAATTTAAAATGTTCAAAAATATTTTCTATAAATGAGAAGACTATAATCTTGACTGCAGACCCACTAACCCATCCGTTGCCCAATAAACACACGACACCTGTATAATGGATAAGGGCAACGGCCACAGCTTTATTTAACATTTTTGCCAACATTAATACCAACTGTCAGCTTATGGGGTGATTCATCCATCAGACAGATCTCACATCCTTTTACCAGAGTCCAAAGCAGCCTGCCTTCCGCCTTCAGCCCAAGCAGACTGCGACTCCCCAATCCGACTTGGCACTTGCCTTCCTATGCGCTGGCCAGGTATTCCGCCACCGCGATGCCGGCCTCCTACGCCCTCCTCCGGCATCGCGCCGCCAGCGCCTTTTTAATCCCGCTTTGCATCCCCACATTGAAGATATCCAGACCAATTACACTTAAATGGACTCCATCGGCCCACATCAACTTGCTGTTATCCCCTTCTAACTCCACGTGCCGGACCACGAACCCTCCAAGCCGACGCACAAACCTCGACACTGTCATATTCATATCCAGCCCTTTTGCATAAGGCAACAGCTGCCACTGTCCGGACTCTGCCCAGGTCATTCCCCCCTGCATGAATGACCAATATAACCGAACTGGGAACAAACCTGCTCAGGAAACGGCACTCTGGGTACACCTGGCTCCATGACAACCCCCAAATGCCCCTCCATCGAACCCACACGTGGTCATAGGAAAATCCTAGGTTGCGGCCATAAGGGTGCTCCTCCGCCCGCCTCGCTGCCCAATAGATGTAGGAATGCGTATTCCTACGTAGCGTGGAAGTGAACCTAGAATGAACAAATAGAAACTGAACGGGAAGAAACTGCTACTCACCCCAAGACTCAAACCCTACAAGAGGTGTGGCCGTACATACAACTGGAACCTCCCAGAACTCCACCGACCCAACCTCTGCACCGCTGCCGGCGCAAATCCCATCCCACTAGCCTGCGTGGCTGCCCCAATCCGGGACGAATGGGCTGAGTACCCTAGCGGGCTCATGCCGCTCGCCACCAGGGATTCATGCAAGATCTTCCCAAATTGATATCGCGTCATCGGAGATCCGTCCCGATGCACCAGCAGAGAACCCCCGAAACAGGTGCACCGGGCAAAACTCCCCCCCCCGCCGCATCAATACGTAACCACACACCGTCACCTCTTTGATCCGTCTTGGACTTACAGATCTTAATGTCTAGACCCCTGGCCGCCCACCGTACGTCCGACAACACCAGCAGTGGCACCGCCCGACGGCTCGCGGCCACCACCTCCCTGACCCGCAACGCCCAAAAAAAGCACAAAGAAAAAGCAACCCTGAACAACAACGCTTCATACTCTGAACTACACACCCGCCACAGCGCCGCCAGGAGCTCCCACAGAAGCTGCACCGAAATAGGCCTCCACCGAAATCCGGGACCCTCCTCCGTCGCCACCCACGCAGGGCTCTCTGAATGCTAAATTCCCTGGTAATGTCCCTCCAACCCAGGAACCTAAACAAGACAGACAAGGCCGACAGGGCCTTCTCCGCTGCGGCACATGACCGACCTTCCTCCAACAATTGCTCCAAAAACAGTAAGGTTACCTCAAAGCGCCCCGAGTCTGACGCCAGGCTACTCTCCCGACACCAACCCGAGCCACTTAGACCACACTCCGTCACCAGCCCCATCAGTCTTCGGAACCGAGATCCCATAAAGACTGAGGAAGGCTGCCCCACCCGCTCAGCCTCCGGTGCCGCCTCTAGGAAACGCTGCCACTGGAACCGAGAAAGCGCATCAGCCATGATATTCAACACTCCCGGCACATGACATGTCCTAACCCACACATTATGCTGCAAACTCAACAGGACCAAGCGCCTCAGCAACGCCAGAACCGGCGGCGATGACGACGTCGCACGATTAATCACATGGACAACGCTCATGTTGTCCATGTGAAAATCAACCGTTCGGTCCCGCAAATCATGTCCCCACAACTCCATAGCCACTACAATCGGGAAGAGCTCCAGGAAGGTCAGGTTGTGCATGAGATCCTTACCTTGCCAACTCTCCACACACACCACCGGCCCCGGAAGTATGCCCCGAAGCTGAAGGAGCCGGACGCATCCGTGAAGAGTTCCAACACTGAGTTACCAACCGCCGCTCGCAGCCAACACGACCGGCCGTTGTACCTCTCCAAGAAGGAACTCCACACTTGTAAGTCCACTTTGAGCTTTCTTGTAACCCGTATTAAATGATACTGCTCCCGAATCCCCACCGTCGCCAAGGAGAGCCGGCGACAAAACGCCCGTCCCATCGGCAAAACCCGACATGCGAATGCCAGGTGACCCAGCAGCACCTGCATCTGTCAACTGCACTTCGTTCGCCCCTTTTACTAGGTCGACCCACCGAAACAGCACCGCGACCTTGTGATCCGGCAATCGAAAGATCATGTTGGCGGAATCAATTTCCACTCCAAGGAAAGCCAGCATCTCCCCTGGGCCCTCAGTCTTCCGTTCCGCGACCGGCACGCCAAAATCCACTGACACGAAAAACACGGAGAAGGTCCCCGCATACCCAGTTCCCCGTTTGCCTACAAACAAAAAATCGTCTAAATAATGGGTCACTGAACCCTAACCCAAAACCTGAATTACCGCCCATTCCAGAAACGACGCAAGGGACTCGAAATAGGAGCAGGAAATAGCACATGTCATAGTAGTAACTATCTTCAAAGTGGCAACCGAGGAGGTGATGACACTCCGGGTGGACTGTTAACAAGCGAAAAGCCGATTCAATGTCGGACTTCGACAACCAGGCTCCAACCCCGGCGTCCCTGACCAATTCCAAAGCCCTGTCAAACTATGCGTACCGCACGCGGCTGAACTCCTTGTCAATACCGTCGTTAACAGACTCACCTGCTGGATAAGATATATGATGAATCATGCGATAAGCCCCCTCCTCCTTCTTGGGGACCAAACCCAACGGCAACACTCGCAGATTCTCAAACTGCGAGCGGTCAAACAGCCCCGCCATCCTCCCCAAAC